CCCAGCCATCCGAAACGTGTAAAGTCAATCAAGTAGAACGGTTGGCCTTAAACTAAACAAGTCTGACGTAACGGAATCCTTGGTGCTGGCGATCCATCATTTCCCAGCTTGTAATCACAAATATTGATACACGAGATGATGTAGGGTAGACTTGGGTTGTCGAGTGGAATGTGCTTTGTTGTCGGTGGCCGGGCTGTTTTACACTTGTGTCTGTATGATATCAGTAGCTTGTCTGAGGATCGTTTGTATTGATGTTATAAATGAACATTCCCAACTGTTATGCAGAGGAAGCAGTTTTAAATGTGGTCTTGCATAACTCCATTGATTTCCCGGCGACAGAGCTCATTTCATATTCTCTGACACGGGGTGATCGTGGGGCGTTGAATGGGTGATACTCTATGTAATGTTGCGCCAATAGACTTGTCGTAACGTGCAGAGCATCATCTTGGCAAACATTGACTCGTTGTATTAGCATTCACTCGTTGTAATGTACAGAGCACCATCGTGGAAATTGTTGACTGGTTGTTATGTACAGAGCACCACCGGGGCAAACGTTGACTCTTTGTAATCTGCAGAGCATCATCGGTGCAAACATCGACTCGGTGTAATGTACAGAGCACCATCGGGTTCAAAATTTACTCGTTGTTATGGACAGAGCACCATCGGGGTCAACATTGACTCATTGTTATGTACAGAACATCATCGGGGCAAGATCTGATTTGCTGTCATGTGCAAAGCACAATTGTGGCGAACATTCTAAATAAATAGAATTCTGAATATGATAGCAAATGGGAAATGTCCATAAGTTTCTGATAAGTTTATGTACAACTAGGTATATTCTAGTATATTTAAAATTGGCTAGGAGTATAAAGTTGTAAAATTGTACAATAACTAGCCTTCCTTAAGGTTGATTAAAAATTAAAATGGTCCCACACACAGCGCAGGAATCGTCTACACTCTTGAAGCCTAATCTTATTTTTTCTTTATAATTAAAACGAAATATTCATATTTGGACTGAATAAGTACCACCCCTGTGAGTCTGATGCTGACTAATGTATTTGTTGAAAGGAATTTTTCAATATTTAATCAACATTGAGATTAGACCATTTACGTTAGCAGTCTGAGAAATAAGATAACTGCTGGTACCGGAACGAACTCATAATCACCACAATCAAAAACATATTATTTTGCGAAAACTTTTCTCTCAAAACCACGATTCCTGTCACTTTAAAGCAATTGCAAATATGCTACAATATTGATGCGCTCAAACAATAGCATTTAAAGTAATAACTAATTATCATTAAATAATTGTGTTAAATTTGGTTTCCAGGCGCTTCCAGTAAAAAGAGAGTTGTTCCCATCGCCTGAGGACGAAATGGACGAAGAGCAAAGGAAAGCAGAGGAGAAGAGGAGGCAACTGGAAGAGGAAACCTTAAATATAGGTAAATAACCCCCTGAGGGAGGAGGGGGAGGGACGTGAATTAACTTTAAATACAGGTAGGAAAGGTGAAACCCAGGGGGGACGTCAGTGATTAACGTTACCTCTCACACCAAAGAGTTCATCTCCAAGGAGACGTGAGGCTTTGTACGTGCGTTCTGTATAGTAAGCTATGCTACAGACATCAAAAACGGTCATTAATTTCCTGACACAGGATAAGTATCGGAGTACATGGAGGTGGAAATTAACTTGAAGATAATTTGATATTATTGATTAAATGTGATATAATACACTGTGGAGCGGATACGCATCTTTCCAAAAGACAGGATGTTATCACTAATTGTTCTGGTTATAATGTTTTTGCGGTATTGGATTGATCGGATTTTTTCAGGTGTGTACAGAATTACGGTAATAAAGAGATATTCATGCTGTTAATGTGTGATGTTTGGAAAACTTATTTACGCGGTTATTCTAAAAAATTATTACATATATTTTAATTCACGAAAGAATTTCCCTGTGGTAGTCAGGGTATTCGAAATCAGACAGGCTCTCTTTGGGAACTTCGTAATATAAGTGATATCTTAGTTCGTCTCCATCGTTGCTGGTAATCGTTTGCTGGATAATCAAACTACTCATTTGTAAAGCGGACGTGATGTTTTTCTCATCGACTTCTAGTTAGAGATCTGTTCTTCTGTGTTGTCACTGTGACATATTTTGTCATTGTTTATTGACGATGGTCCAGGTGTGGACAAAGTATTGTTATCTTGCACTGTACAGTGTGATGTTTTTTATTCCATCTTTCTTTTTTACATTTTAGGTACCTCTAATAACATTGAAGAGTTGGTTAAACCAAAGGACGTTGCTGACAGGAAAAGAAATCTTGTGTTCGACGAGGAGAGATTTGAGGACACATTCCTTAAATGTCTAATATGTCGTGAGAACTTTGATGACACCGAGAAAGCTCCTAAAATGCTGCCTTGCCACCACACATTCTGCCTTGACTGTTTGCGACAGATGTTCCGAGTAGAAGGAGAATTTCGTCAAAATTTATCATCCGCGTTTCGTGCCATGCCCATGGCGGTAAAAATTTGCTGTCCGTCATGTCGAGAAGCACTGATTTTGTCAGATGCGGAGATTGTCCGCTTGCCAAACGACCACACTGTCCTTGAGCTACTGTCCTTTGTCAGGTCCACAGGGAAAAAGGATGTACAGTACTGCACAAAACACAAAATGCAGCCACTGAACTTTTTTTGTGAGCCATGCATTTTACCAGTGTGCTGTGACTGTACAGTCATTGATCACAAGGAGAAAAATGGCCACCGAGTGATGAATGTTGAGGAGGCTTTAGACAAGTACACTCCAGTTATAGACGAGACTCTGGCAGATCTGCAGAGTGCCGAGCAAACTTTGTTGGATAAACGACAGTCGCTGGAGAAATCGGCCGACAACATTGAACAAATACAGCGCGAATTAGCTGTTCAGATTCGTCAAACATTCGACCGTCTGCGGGACGCCATAGATGAACGGGAGAGGGAGTTGTTCAAAATGTCCGAATCTGAAATTGACCGAAAACGAGGGGAAATAGATGAACAATTGCAAATCGTTCAAAGCCGAGAGGAGTCGGTTACGGCAGAGAAAGATAGACTAAATAGTGCGCGGGAGGATAAAAACATCAGTGCCATGTTCAGTACCCACCAGACGGCGCGCGAGACGCTGGAGAAAAAGGTTCATATCCCCGGTCCGTCGCCTTCATCCAAAGACTTCGCTGTCAGCTTTCAGTTTAATAGTCGACAGGAAAACGTCATAAAGGCCAGTATAGCTGGACTTGGAGATGTATCTTTCAAAATGTCATAAGTCAATGACACTTTGGATATTAGAACTGCTGGCATTTATCTGTGGATGTGCATTTTCGAAGAAAATTAAGTGTCTTTCATATTAGTGTTGACAATTGTTTATGCACTGTTGAGTGGAATGGATAACGTTTAAATGAATGTTCGTTTCGATTTTGGTAGATTCCTAGAAATACATGTACACATGAGATTATCTATCACTTCTGGAAATGGATTGATTTTTATGTTTTTCGATGATATTGTACATACTTAAGAAATGGCGTTTTCGTGAAATCAGAAATCCGGTGGCAATACACGTATTGAACAAATTTCTTATCGACTTTCCATGAAAGTCTTCCGAGAAAAAAATCACATTTCTGAATAGCATGTGTTTATTGTAACGTTATTTATCTTTTGTTTACAAAATTATAACCTGATATATTACACATTATATGTAAAATATTATTATTGAATATAAATGTACTTCACATTCCTATGCAAAGCAACTGAGATGAGAAAGTATTACCTACATAAAAACATACGACAAACCAATGTTACATTAAATACACGACTCCTCCATGATGTCAATTTCATCGCATACATACAAGTAGTCGACGAAACTATTCTGGATAGTCGAACATAATGACAAGTTTACCTGCGTACTTTCTAGTGTCTCCTTATTAACATAATTATATATATATATACAAATACCTTAGAGCGGTTTACATCTCATATAAGTATAAATTTCGTCTAAAATTTAAGATCATGAAGATCTTACCATTAAAATCTGGATGTTATTATATACACATAGGTACACATGTCTATGTAGGGTTGTTTAGTTTCCTATACCCGTACCACCTACATACTACCTGTGTAGTGGGCACACCTGTCACTGACGTATTGATAACTTAATGTACCTAACTAGTACCAATATGATACATACATCCTACTTTTTATTACACACGTGTATCTGACGTTAAACTACATGTGCCTATAAGAAACTAAGCTTGTTTTCGAATCTCTCCAAAATAACATGCATGTTTAAACTAAACTAAAAAGTATATACCCATTCGACACAAACATACTGCCTGTTTATTGGACAGACTAGTTCGTTGTTTTTGAACATGTTTTCGAACTATTTTACAGAAGAGTCAATCATATACCACCTACAAAATAGACGCACATCATCGTTATATTTAAAAAAAATTGAATCAAATACTGTTTTTATTTACATTCAACTTTTATACAACACGCTCATTACTGTGATATTTCAATAAATCGTATGCTTTTCACTATCGACATACCACCTACATACTAGACCCACCTTAACGTGATATTTAAAT